TCACAGATGCTGATATGAAATTGTATCCATCAATCCTTGAGCAGAGCAGCATACAGTTGAGCAAATATTTTGTAAGAGATATACTGGCTAAATATATATTTTACCTACTTCATCTGATTGGAGAACAGCAACCTCGAAGACAAAAAAAATTTTGCTAATTAAAATTTCTGACCATCATAGCCGCTCGTCTTCTGCAAACTCCGCCGTCGAACCAGCGAGAAATCGATTTTATTCCTCATTTCATACTTCGGACCAATTATAAATTGTGTGATAGGAATTTGGTTTTTTTACGCGCTGGCATCCTAAAGGTACCTTCATACCGCGCTGGTGGCCGCCGGTAGCCGCTTTTGCGCACTTACTGGAATAGTGTGCAAAAGCGGCTAGCGGCGGCTGGTGGCGCGGTATGAAGGCAACCTGATGTGTTATCGGTCTAAATTCCCTTCAAGTTGTCGTTTCGCCGCTTCCAAAAATCAAGCTTTTGGTACATCGTAGTTCATATAGGATAAGCAATTCCAAAAAGTGATATCTTTTGATGATCCCGGGTCGCTTCGAACGGTTCTCGGGCTCAAACTCAATTTTTGCCCATCTTCAGCTTGACACCTGAAATTCTTTATTTGTGTTCCCATTGAGTCAACAATCGCATGATCAGAGGACTGTAAACCTAGAACACACCGTTAGAAGGTATTCAGAAGATTGCCTTTGAGCAAAGTGGACACGACTCTGAGCCTGGAAGTTCCTCTAGTACCGCCATGACATCATTCCAGCTAGCATCGTTCGAAAAAAGTTTAAGTGATGGTTGAGGAAAATTCCTTGCAGACATTTATAAGTTTGTATCCCGAGCAACGATGTGTACAAGGACGAATTTCGATGCTGCGCAGTAAAGACGATGGTGTTATCTTTGTAAAAAAAATTGAGTTGATTCCCACGCTAGTAATTCCTCCATCTTCTAATAAAACATATAAGAAGGCCAAAGAAAAAGGCGATTTGGGTGGCGTTGAGTCGTGAGTGACACTATGAACCATTTCCAGGTTCAAAAGTTTTTCCAGGTTCTTTAGATAAGACGAAAACGTCGAAACGTTGAGCCACATTGGAAAAAGACCACTTATCGAACTTGTGTCACACAGAAGTAATATGAAGTTGTTCGAAAAATTGAATATTCGAGCAAGAGAAAAGCACATATCTTAATATTCGAGTGTAATGTTTAGTCGCATGTTCACATGCGAGCTTTCTTGCATATTCGCATATTGCATTTGAATTTTCCGTATTTGTATGTTTGGACATCGAGTATTCTATGATCTCAAGTTCACTTTTTAAATAGTCAGTTACTCGATCAAGCTCAATTATCCGAATACTCGAATTCGAATTGGGAATGTGCCCATGAGAAAAGAA